TATATATGTGTATGTATGTTTGTATGTACAGTATGTTTGTATGTATATGTATATATGCATACATTCCACAATACAAAATAGTAATTGAATTTACAACTGATCTTTTTCAAGATTGTATTCATCATTTAATATTATGTTTTTAAATATGAAGTTATATTTATTACTATATTTATATTATTATATGTTTTCTGGAATGTCAGCTTGAGCAGCCATCTGTAAATTACAGTCCTTTGCAAAACTTTTGTAACATTCATGTTGTTTTAAACGTTTTCCTTGACCTGTGATTCTCACTCCATTTGAGTACATGATCCTGGCTACCATCATTGCTAACTGCATCGTCCTGGCCCTGGAACAGCATCTTCCAGACGGGGACAAGACACCTATGTCAGAGCGCTTGGTGAGTTCCGGTTGTGTTCATCAGTGTTTGTTTGTTTCCGTATATTGTGATACCAGAAGCCATGTAACTCAACAGAAAACACAGGAACTAAATGGTCTCTGATGTACCATTCCTTTTGCTGAAATCCAGTGGTTAATTCATGTTTACACACTCTTATTTCTCTTTGTCCTTCCCTTTGTGTTTCTCTCTCACAGGAGGACACCGAACCCTACTTCATCGGCATTTTCTGTTTCGAGTCAGGCATTAAGATCTTGGCTTTGGGCTTTGGCTTCCACAAGGGCTCGTACCTACGCAATGGCTGGAATGTCATGGACTTTGTAGTGGTGCTTACTGGGTAAGTCAGAACAAACACATCTGCATTCTTATAACATTCACTAAGAATAAATGGTCACACTTTATTTTAAGGTTCAATTCTCGCTATTAAAGGGGTCATCGGATGCCCATTTTCCACAAGTTGATATGATTCTTTAGGGTCTTAATGAAAAGTCTTTAACATGGTTTGCTTAAAATTTCTCAATGGTAGTGTAAAACAACACCCTTTTTACCCTGTCAAAAACAGCTCTGTCTACAGCAAGCTGTTTTAGGTAGTGTAAAAACACCTTTTTTACCCTGTCAAAAACAGCTCTTTTCAGATCAAGCCGTTTTGTAGCATTTCCCTTTAAATGTTAATGAGCTCTGCTGACTCTGCCCCTCTCTTCCAGCTGCTCTCAGATACTGTTTACTTTAGTCGCATTCATCGTTAAACTTGCTAATTAGCACATTATTAGGAAAGGCAATTTGCAAAGATTCATTAATAAAACCTTACACTCACTTCTTCTGGAGATGAAGCTGGATCACGAATGATTCCCGTAAAGATAGACGCATTTAGGTAGATCGGGGTGCATTTCCTTCAAAAACAAAGGTAATCCACTTCGTCTTCAGCGGCTCAGATGTCGGGAGTGACGACTGCTATGTTCATTATTACATCCAACAACAGAACACCTCAATCGCTTAGGAGTGACGTCACACAGACAGGTATCTGAGATCGGCTCGATTTGAGAAAGGGGAAATGATTTAACGAGATTAAAAACACTGGGTGGATCTTTATCATTATAGGGTGATTGTGTACATACACTGCCAACACACATTTCAGTTCAAACAACTTGTAAAAGTGCATGTCGCATCCGATGACCCCTTTAACAAACCATTAAAGGGATGGTTCACCCAAAAATGAAAATTAATTACTCACCCTTATGTCGTTCCAAACCCGTAAGACCTTTATTCATCTTCAGGACACAAATTAAGATATTTTTGATGAAATCCAAGAGACCTCTATGACCCTCCATAGACAGGAAGGATCCTTACACGATCAAGGCTCAGAAACGTAGCAAGGACATCGTTAAAATAATCCACGTGACATCAGTGGTTTAACCATAATTTTACAAAGCTACGAGAATACTTTTTGTGCACAAAGAAAATAATAAATAACGACTTTATTCAACAATGGACCCTTTTCGCAAGACTGTGATGAATCCTCGAAAGTTTTTCATATTTGTATTTTTAAAAAAATGTATCTACATTTATAACACTATTCTTTGTATTATAATTACAAAAAAACAGTTAACGCTAATGCGAGGGTGTTTCTAATGCAGCATCTATGGGAGGGACGGTAAATTTGACATCGTAGCGCCATTTTGGAGAGTATCACATACGTAAACAACGTATGCTGTTCTGTGTCAGCAGCTCCATACGCAGATACACTGTTTACACTTTGATCTGAATGTAAACAACGTATCCGCGTACATACGTTGCATACGGATTTTGTTTATGTATGTGATCCTCTCCAAAATGGCACCAGGGTGACACGGAGGAGACGAATTGTTGAATAAAGTCGTTATTTTTGTTTTCTTTTGCGCACAAAATGTATTCTTGTAGTTTCGTAAAATTATGGTTGAACCACTGATGTCACGTGGATTATTTTAACGATGTCCTTGCTACGTTTATGAGCCTTGATCGTGTAAGGATCCTTGCTGTCTATAGGAGGGTCAGAGAGCTCTCAGAATTCATCATAAATATATTAATTTGTGTTCTGAAGATGAACGAAGGTCTTACGGGTTTGGAATGACATGAGGGTGAGTAATTAATGACAGAATTTTTAACCTTAATAAACTCCTAACTTGCTGCTTATTAATAGTTAGTAAGGTAGTTGTTACGTTTATGTATTGGGTAGGATTAGGGATGTAAAATATGTTCATGCAGAATATGTGCTCTATAAGTACTAATAAACAGCCAATATTTTAAAAATAGGCATGCTAATAAGCAACTAGTTAATAGTGAGAATTGGTCCAATTGCACCAACTGATCCAGTTAGTTATGTGCACGTGCCGACTGCGTTGTTTTAGCGCCTGATTCACTACAGGATTATGCAAATAAGGTACAAGTACTAGGGAAATATCACAATTCTCCATGCCAGTTTTGATACCACAACAAAAAACAGTATGCCACTGAACACAATCATTCTTTTAGGAAGTTCAGTATTAACGGTCACAGAGTGGCTGTGCAAATACCATGACACTGTTTCAAAGCAGTCCGAATTGAGTTGGTACTACCATAAATGCAAGCACTTTTTACAAGTTTACCTGTGAAATACTAACACTTTTGCCATCCCTGCCACCTGCTTTCCATGTGCAGTAATAGCATTAATTGTACCAGGCAGATAGCATCTATAATGAGCCAAATTAGCATAGAAAGAAGATGTGTTTGTGCTGAAAATAATGACAATGAGTTAATTTAAATACACCTGATGCAGTGCTAAACCAGCACAGATAACGCCTGGTTAAACTGGATTACAGGTGGCTAGTGAAGATGACGCAGGTGCAAAAGTGGTGCAACTGTCTAGTGAATTTACCTCACAAGCTTTTTAATATCGCTGTGTTGGTGTTTTAAACATGCACATATTACGGTATATTGCCTGCTGTTATATTCTGTTTTAAAATGGGTGAATGTTTTGCCATTTTTCCCCATGAATTCTGCATGTGTTTGTGTAGACGTGTGTGTATGTCAGCTGTAACTGCACGGCAAGTGATGTTGTGTTCTCCTGACCTAATGAGCTCATGGTGAGCCCAGATCAGAGCAACACTGCGGATACAAGCGGTGAGGACACGATACAAATGTCACCAGAGAGAGAGAGCAAGACAGCAAAAAGAGAAACAGACAAGGAGGAAGGATGATGGGACAGCACAGGGCTGTAGACAATCACGATTTTTTCCAAGGGAGGAGGGAAAAGCAGAAGAAAATCTGATGGTTATACACACTTTACCTAGATTATTGTCCTCTTACTCCAATATCTTAGAGTCTGGTGAAAGTATCTTGACAGTATCCATTTGTTGTAAGGAGTTTAGGTTTACACAAGACTTACACAAAACATAGTGAAAGTTAGTGTGTTTGTTTTATTTAAGGCAGCGGCTATAGCAATTAGAGGTTATTTACACTAAGTGAAAATAGCATATTTTCTTAGCGATAGATGCTATTTACACCAAATGCAAATAGCGATAGATTCTATTTACGCTATGTTAAAATAGCAGGATTTTCTGCTATTTTTACTACTTATTGCAAATAGTGGCAATTATCTGCACCTCAGTATTATAGTACATTTATAAAACAGTATGCAATAACATATTTAGTGTAAATTATCATTTCAATTCAAATAATTAAATGGACGCCGCGGTATTGGGACAATAAAGCCCTCCCTACACCTATCCTAACCCTACCCATTACTTTATTTTCAACTTTTCAGTTATCTCCCTCATTTTTATTGAAAATAAATACCTTTCTGATGTGATATGAGATTTGAAAAGGGAGAAAAAATGTTCAGAAAAAGGCGGATTTGAACTAGGGTCGATCTCATCAAAGAGACGACGACACGTGCTTTACCTTCTACACCACTGGAATGGATATTTGATTGTCTTTCATGATGTTGACTATCGCAATCACACATTGGTGGGCGGAGCTAGTGTAAATAGCCTTTGCCAACAAGGCAGGCTATTTGCACTTAGTGTAAATATTAAATTAAATTCAAGTTTATTTGTATAGCGCTTTTCACAATGCAAATCGTTGCAAAGCAGCTTTACAGAAAATTAAAGATTCTACATTATATTTAGTAATAGCTTATCAGTGGTGATTATCTCAAGTTGATGTCCATTTTAGCAAAATTTGGTAGTTTTTGTATGTTGTCTGAGGGTTGGGGGGGGGGACAATAAACATAAAATTTCTCAAGAACGATTTTTGAAGGGGACACAAATAATACAGCTAAAATTGTACTTGTAAGGATATGTATACACAGAGGAAAGCCTTACTACTACCAAATTAGACAACGTAAAGCTGTTGTGGTCGCGCTGAGACAGCGCTTGTGTCTGTTGTATCCGTCACAGTGTTGCCATGTCCGTGGGTTGAAGCGAACCCAATAACATTTATTTTAGCCCCCGGAACGCGATTTTTACCAGGGGACCCCCTCGAAACGCGGTTAGTTTGGGCTAGTTTTGGGTAGCAATTGGGAGGGTTTTGTTGTAAAAAACCTGGCAACCCTTTTCGTCAAGTAGGTAACGTTATTATTACTAACATAGCGACTCATTATTGTTGCTAACATAGCGGACTCATCGAAAAATACATTGGCATCATGTATTAAAGAGAAAATAATCACTTCATCCGATGTTTAAGTGAATAAAATAGCCTTGACAGCCTTGGAGTTCCACAACTATTGACTTTGTTCTCCCTCACCGGACTCGTGTGTGTGTAGGTGAAAAAGAGGAAAGCAGGCATTTGGACCAAAGCACTCTGAGGCAAGGGAGGGGAGACTCAAAATGTTTCTAAACTTAAAACGCATTTTTGCCCCGTTTGTGTTGTTTTACTACTTGCACAATTATTTAAAGTATAAAACATTGTTATTTACAATACACAGACTGGTTTTTAATCATATTTTTAGGGGGGACAACCCTCAGAGAAGGCCGAACATGTGTTAATGCTTCGTTTAAAAAAAACATTATTTTTCACATAATTTACCTTTATTCTGCACCGCTCTGTCCCTTCTCCTTTGAATGTTCCAAAGACTTCCTGTTTTTATGAAGCCCCTCCCTCAGATTGGTTAGCTGGCCCAGTGTGTTGTGATTCGCTAAACCGCCTAAATGTCACGCTCCTCAGCTTGGTGGCATGCGCTGTGGTTGTCTCATACTTTTAGATACGCTGTTATTTGTAAATGCAACAATTCTTCCACTTCTCTAAAGCAGCGCAACATGGCCTCACCCCCTTTGTTGCATGTTGCTGGGGCCGGGGTTTATCAGAGTTTGTGATGTCACAAAC